ATTAAAAACTGTAAATCAATTGGGTTAACAACAACATTTAACCTTTAATGGTTTCCTATAACACTTGAAATAGAACCAAATTGCTTATGCTTATGAAGGAGTACAAATTCTTCAAATATGCCATCTATGCCAGCAGAGAACCGTGTTTTAGTAAGTATGATTTGTGCCAATCACATGCAATGCTAATACATTGCAGACAGGTATTGGGCATAATGACTTCTAAACTTGATACAACTTTTCTTCTTTCTCCATGTAGATGCTTTTATGAGAACCTGTGGCTAGATAGATTATACTCATAGGGAGAAAAAATATTACTTTCTGTTAAATGAATATTAAGTCCACTTCCACTGACTTATATTCATATTTATAGATGAATACAACTCCCAGTCCTCATCAGAGAAGCTTCTATTTGCAGTAGTCAGCGATTAATGCAGAAATTCACAACCTGACAAAGCACACAGAATATAAAACTGAAGGATGCTCAGAGAAAATTGAACATCTTTAGTACATACCCTCCACACAAAGGACAGAAAAACTGTAAGAGCAGAGATAGTGCATGAGTATAAGTAAACAATGTCTTCTGAACACAACAGGGCAGCTGCATATATAAATTCATAATGGGTAAGAAAATATTCATAAGCCCAATACCAGCCATATTAAATCCCCATGTGGAGAGAGGATGTTGATATATATGATAATTAGAGTAACAATGGTCCCCATAAGTTCATGTATTTGAATTCTTAGTATCAGGGGCTGGAGTTCTTTGAAAGGAATAGAAGGATCAGGAAATGTGGCCTTGTTGGGGGCAGTGTTTCACTGGTGGTGGGCTCTGGGGTTCCAACAATGCATACCAGATTCTGTTTCTCTCTTTTTCTTTCTCAGTGTTTCTGTCTCTTTCTGTGTCTCTTTCTCTGTCACCCTCTCACACTTCCTTCTGCCTATGGATCAGGATGTAGGTAGCTCTCAAATTCTTTTCTAGAACCATGATGCAATTCCTGCTTCCTGTTCCTGCCATAAGGATGCTCATGACCAAGCTTCTGAACCTGTACACATGCTCCAAATTTAAATGTTCTCCTTTGTAGCTGCTATGAGCCAGCCTTCTCCTGTAATCATTGATGACTACTCTAATTGTCATCATAGAAACTTTATCCAATACTAATGGAAGCAGATGCAGAGACCCATAGCTAAGGACTAGGCCAAGCAGTGGGAGGAGGGAGTATATGAGAAAGGGGAAAGTTAAGATCATGATGGGGAAATCCACAGAGACAGCTGACTCAAGCTTGAAGCTGCATAGGACTGCACTAGGCACTCTGAATGTGGCTTGGGTAGTGTGAGAGGCCACTGGCATGGGACCAGGATCTCTTCCTAGTGAATGAACTGACATTTTGGAACCCATTTCCTAGAGACGAATTATCAAAAATCTTTAAAATGCATTGCTTCTAACATTTCTAACTCAGGGTTCATAAAAAAGGGAAAAGAAAAAAGGAAAAGAAAAGAAAAAGCAAAACCCAAGAAGTACAAGTAAGTGAAGGACCTAGAGTCTGAGGGAAAAGGAATCCACCCACACACAATTGCTCCTCCGCATGTTCCTTTCTTCTGTTTCATTTCTCCCTTTTTCTGTTTTTTCTTTCTCGCTTTCACTGTTTCTCTTTGTTTTTCTGACTTCCTTCCCAGTTTTGGGATATATTGGTATATATACACATTCACAGCAGTAATTCTTTTTCCAACACAATGTGAGGCTTGAGTTTCTCAGTGTCAGCAAGGCAGGTAAGATTTACACGCACAGTCATGAACCAAAACTGCTAAGAGAAATGTTTATCCTCGGTTAGGACTGAGGATCAAAGAGAGGGTCTAAGTTTAATTCATACAAGAAACAAAACCTGGCTCCTTTCAGTGCTCTAGCTTCAGGGTGGCACAGGCCTTCAAGACTAAAGTGTACTTTTCCCTGAGGATGAGCAAATGGGCCAATTACCTTTGTCTTTATCTTCTCATGGGAAATAGGAGGGAGCAGTGAATCTCTGAGCTAAAATCTAGAGTTAATAAAACAGGCAGTTTGAAAATAGTTAGTGCAGGTTAGTTTAGGGTATTGCTTATCTATCTGCCAGTGAGGTACCAGGTCATGATTATTTTTTTCTATACATCTAGGCAGCTATGAATCAACAGCTTTGGACGTGTAGTAACTCTCTGTCCTTGAATACCTAGGCATGTCTTAGATGGAATGATTTGGACTGTGCTCTAAATAATGATCAAATGACAGTCAATAAAGGTAATTGCAGGAAGGCAGATCTCTGCAATTGCAATGGAGAGGGAATAAGAACCTGATAGTAAGAAACAGGTCTCACACATAGTTAAGGAATGTAATCACTAAATTTGGAGCTGTTAATGGAGAACAGGTTTTACACATAACTAGGGAGTGTAATCAGTAAACTCCAAATGCATGGGAGAAATTTGTTCTCAGTAAATGAACAGATAGTGCTGAACTATGGGAAGTAAATCCCGAGTTAGTTGCAGAAAGGAATACGCTACGGAAGAACCTACAAGAAGAAACAGCTACTGCTACTTCATTCACAAGACTATAACTCTATTACAACTTTTGTACTGGGTTTATCTATTAGAAGATTCTTTAATTCTTCTGAGATATTTCATGACGTGATAGCTGTATAATTACTGTGTGATCTTGTGGGTTGTAGCAAGGAATATCGTGCTCAGCCTAGATAGCTGATAATAGACATAGCTTTGCCATTTGTTCGAAAATAATTATTTCAAATCTCATAAGCAGAGGCAAGCCTCCTTGGTTGGTACTATTAGCTTATGGGAGGCTGAGGGAGGTTAACAGTTGCAAGTCTGTCCTGGGCTATATAGAAAGACCTTGTCTGGAAAAAGTAAAATGAAATAACAGAAGAAAAACTCACAAGCAAACAGAAAAGCTTCACAAAGCCATTTTCTAGGTCCTTCAGAACTCTCGAGTCAGAAAGTGTTATCTGAAAAGGTTGGTAAATACTCTGGAGAAATAAAACTGATAGCAACTTAAATGTCAGTTCATTCAATTTCCAGAGATATAAAATTAACAGTGTAGATTACCGATATATATCTTTCTAGTATATGGACTGAGCAAGTCCTACATTTGAGAGGTTCCCTTAAAATTAGTAAAAGTAGCACGACAATAAACAAAAATATTTGAATTCATGGCATACAAACTGTGAAAAACCTTGCCCAGTTAAGACCTGTTAGCATGCCTGTCATAGAGACCTCAAACCCCTTAGCCGGACTGTCACTGAGACAAATATTTGCCCTCTGTGCCTAGTCAAAGTCACGATACTTTGCTGACTTGTTGAGAAAGATAAGTATTGTTGAAGTGGAGAGTTCTCAGAGTGAGGCTGGGAAAACCTCAGCTAATTCTCCTCATGTGAGGATGTGTGGTAAAGGGAGGGATGCTGTTTCCCTAGTATAATGGAAAGATGTTAAATCTGTGTTAGAACATACTCATTGCTGTTAAGTTCTTCCACTCTTACTCTTTCAGTGAGTGTTCCTGTGGCTTATGCTTCCACCAACAGAATGGCACTCGGATTAGGCAATTTGGCTCTCAGTTTGGCACACGTTGAGCTCTCTCTTTTCACTTCTACTCTTTTTGGAAAATGGACAGTAAACCCCAAGCCAGGTGGGCTTTCTTTAGCTACCAGTAGCATTATCAACTCTGACAGAATCCTTGAAAAGAAACCTATATAATGTTTTAGCTGGTCACCCAGATCCTGAAGGTGCAGACACAGCCAAGATTTTTTTAGATTGTCAGTCTTGGGGACTTTTGCTATCACCAGCCTCCTTGAATGGTAGATGACTCGGCAAGAATTCCCACGAGGGTCCCCTTCTGTTTCCCTGAACTCCCTCTCTCCTCCCTCCATGCTCCCTACTTGCTCAGGAGATCTTGTTCCTTTCCCCTTCTCTAGTGGACCAGTCTGATAGACTCCCTAAATGTGTGTATTAGTTGGGAGGACTGGCCAGTCAAAGGGACCTCTACTAATTGATCAGTATGTATCGCTAGTATACAAATGGACTCTGGGAGCCCATCCATCATAGAGCGATACTTTCTCAGGCTAGACACATGGGAGATAGACTACGCCCTGCTCAAAATGATATGACAGACTTTGAAGACTCCCCATGGAAGCCATCCCTTTCCCTGTGGAGCAGAAAGGGGATGGGCTGGGGGTTGTTGGGGGTGATAGGGTAGGATGGGAGGGTGAAGGAACTGGGATGGACATGTAAAACAAACTTGTTTCAAATTTAAATAAAAACAGGAAACAATAAAATATATGCTTTCCTCCATATTCAGAAGAAGGAGGAGGAGGAAAAGGACTGTGGTTACCAGTGCAAGAGCTACGATGGTGACTGGTACAACACAAGCCTTCATTTGCACGAGCTGCATGTGGTGTCAGGACATGTCCTTTTCCGACTCTAAAACCAGGCTCATGGGCCTTTCCTGCAAATCATCTTTTAAGGATGACCCATTCTAAAATGGATCTCTCCTTGTGCCTCTAGCTGTGCATGCTGGGCTGGTTTGAAGCATTAGAGATGACTGAGTCATCAGCAAGGCAAAGCTACAAAAGTGTGAAGTGACTGCTTGAGGGCTGAAGGCTAAGTAGCTTCACAAATAGAAAGGAGGAGCAGGACAGGAGCAAGAGGGACAGTGGAAGGAGGAAGAACAGAGAGCAGAGGCTGGAGTAAGGAAAGCTAAAGCCGGAGAAGAGAAACTACAAAGCATTGTGCAGAAAGGCTCCCAGAAAGCTGTCCAGACTTCAAAGCTGCGAGCCTCAAACACTGCAAACCAGAAGCTATAACAGTGATCCGTGTCAAAAGCTGGAGAATCTCAGTAACAGCTAACCTTGTACATAAACTAAAATACAAGCTGCTTCCTTGGCCTAAGCAAACATGACATCCTTGGTCTACACTGCCTAAAACAGAAGAGTTCAGGGTTGAGGTTAACAGTGACCACATGGGAATTTTACCACTAGACGATGCCGCATCACAGTGCTCCAGCTGCTCTGTGCCGTCAACTCCTCCTTGTCAAGCACGTGGACAAACAGAAGCTCCCAGAGACCTCCCCTCTCAGGGAGCTTCTCCTTATCTACCCCCCATGAAGCCATCAGGGCAGAGCAAAAGGACTCCAGCCAGCAGAATAACAACCCAGCACACACAAATGCATACTATAGTATCTGAATCACCTTTAGAATATAGTTCAAATTCACAGCTATTTCACTGGAGTTGAAAGAACAGAATGTGGTTTTAAAACCAAGATTGAGCCCCACTTTTGCTTTTCCTGGCTTACAACCGTTTAGAGCTTAGTTCTGACTTTGACTTTCCTTATAAGTGAATAGTATTATAATTTCTGTTTATAGAAGTAAGACTAACACTGTAGCAAGTGTTTCCAACAAAGAAAAGAATAATTAATTATGAATGTGGAGCACAATTTCTAAAGCTAAAGGAAAGACACCACAGGTCCTGTCCCTGGAGGAATCCTGTCAATATGTCCCTCTCAATGTCTTGGTTTGATGACACTTGAGTTAAGATCAAACAAGTAAAACGTGGAATGTAGCTAACTAAGCTATACCCGTCTGAAACCAGCGTGGGAGGAAGGAGGGAAAAAAAAAAAAAAACGCAAAACAAGGTGACCAGCAAATTGCTGACATCGGCAAAAGCTCATATTTCCCCAAAGGAAATTAAACTGCCGGGTGGGAACTTTCATATATGAGCAACTTGAGATAGAGAGAAAATTGAGTGCTACATAAATCTCCTAACACCGCACTGAGGCAGAAGTACAGAGACCTGGGTGCAGGAGGAAGCCTGCCTAGGCTTTATTCAAGCCGGGGAGTCTGATGGAAAAACTGTGCTGTATAGGAGTGTGGGAGGGGAAAGTACTATGTGGATTCCTTCCAGACTAAGGTGGTTTGATCACGCCAGACCGCCTGAAACAGAGTACCAGGTGATCCTACATTCAAAACAGCTGGACAAAGCATCCTGACAGACTACAGCCAGGATTTCTGCATCTTCTTAGAATCCCCCATGAGAGCGCCCCTTACCACCAGGAAGTAGTTTGGAAAGAATGACGCCCAAATTCCCAAATATTGTCTATAAATGTTTGTTTTCATTTAAATGGACTTGGTTATTTATATATATATATATATAAACCTCATAATCTGGGAAAAAAAAAAAAGCTACATAGCCCATGCCTCATGCTTTCTTTGCTGTCTTGGAGCCAGGCCACTAGCCCTTTCTGGCACACCTCCAAGATCTCCTGTATTTCTGTTTTAATAAACTGTCTCTACTGTAGCTATCTTTGTTTCCCTATGCAGTCAATTGAACAAAAGCACAAGAAACAATAGTGGATACCAGCTGTCTTATACTCAAATGTGCTCCTGCAATGATATCAAGAAGTTCTGTTTTGAATTCTAATAGCATATATCCCAAGAGCAGGACCCCTTCATCTGTAACATTGTGATAATGTATCTCTCTCTTGATGCAGCATCACCCCACTGTATGGTAGGTGCTCATTTGCGGGTTTCAGTAAACAATTAGCTCTAACAACTATCGTAAAACAATCCTGTGCTTGCTTTCTTTACAACCAATAATTGATGCATCTACATTATATGTTATATTATGCATGTAAGGAAATAGCTTAGCAGCACATGTCACAGTGTTTAGCTTGCTGCGGCAATCTGCAGAGGCAGAGGAAATCAAAGTTGAAATAATTTAAGGAATTTGCTTTTCTCTTGATGGGAAAAATTAAAAAAACTCAATAAGTAACCGATAATTGAAATGAGAGACATTTGTTTATTCCTAATATACCCTTAAGTGTTTTAGAGCTGAAATGAACCCTATCATCGTTTAAATATTTTAGTATTCAACAAAATGTATTACATATAGATAAAAGGTTTTTTTCTGAATTGTAATAAAGTTCCTCAGAATCCCAAAGCACAGATGCTCATGCTTTTGAGTTATTGTACAGAAAATGAGTAGGAATTTAATTTGTCTGATAAGTGATTGCCTCTTGCTGAAACAGCATTGTGTCACCAAGAATGAAATGAATCCTATTAAAAATAAGCCAAAACCAAGCATGAGAAAATGGCTAGGGATTTCCAGTTTAAAATACCAATATATCCACCTAGTGTGTTCACATCTGTGATAACACGCTGTTTCCTTCTGTTATTGTTGTCTACAAAGAATAACTTATGAGTCTTCTCCATTTAAATTAGTTGATATTCCATGGTTAGCATCTTCATATAGTGGGACATTGGCTATATTCTTTCTTCATAACACAGGCTCCCTGTCAATAAGCATTTTATTGTTGTGCAGAGACGCCAAAACCAAGGCAACTCTTATAAAAGCAGACATTCGATTGTGTTTTGCTTATAGTATCAGAAGTTTACTTCATTGTCCTCATGGAAGGGAATTCAATGGCGTGCAGGCAGACATGGTGCTGAAGAAGCATCTGAGAATTCCACATCTGGATCCACAGACAGCAGGGAAGAGAGAGTGGCACTCTGCCTGGCTTGAGCTTTGGAAATCTCAAAATGCACCCCAGTGAAACCCTTCTTTTGACAAAGCCACACCTACTACAATGAGACCATACCTCCTAATCCTTCTAAGTACTGCCACTCCCTGATTACTAAGCATTCAAATGTATAGGCCAATGAGGGCCATTCTTATTTCAAACACCACACTCTTTGTAAAATTTGCCACAATCTAGGTAGAATTACCAGATCAAATGTGATTCTGATTCTCCTGAATTCTTGGGGTCTATTATCTTAAAGCATTTTAGTATGCAAAAATCAGGGGTTTCTGGGAAACACATAGGTTGAAATAAACCTCCTAAATGAGGTTTGTGCATAGAATCTGTTTAGAAGTTGTAGGTGAACACATTGGCTCAGTGCATATAAATGTGTATATGCTTCAGGAACTTTGCAGATAGATATATAAAGCATACTTTACCTACCAGGGTTCTCCTGTACAACAATATACACAGAATAGATGGATGCTGATAGATAAATGGTACATAGATAGGTAGGTTGTTGCTGTTGTTCATTTACCCCCTTTCAGACCAAATAAACCCACAAAGACATATTCATTATTAAATTATTAGCCAATGGCTAGCTCTGTCTTAATTATTAACTCATTTATATTAATCTGTGTATTGGCACTTGGCCTTATCTTAGCAGAGAAAGGTCCTGGACTTCTTATTCCTTTGTAGTTTACATTGTGAATCTCTGGCCAGCCCCGCTGCCTACCTTTCCCAGATTTCTCCTCATCTCCTAGCTCCACCTATTTTTTTGCCTGTACTGACTATAGGCCAACCAGTACTTTATTCATCAATCAATAAGAGAAACATATTACAGAAGGTTATCTGCTATCAGTTTGTAGGTAGACAGATAGATGGATAGACATATAGATAGATAATAGATAGATAGGTAGAAAATAAATAAATATATATCAGAGAGATGATAGTTAGACACAAAATAGATGATAGGCAGATAGATAGATAGATAGATAGATAGATAGATAGATAGATAGATAAAGATTAAATGATAGATGATAGCGATAGATAGGTGTTAGATAGATAGGCATTTGGACACCTCTATATGTTGGACACAGAAGAAGGTTCAAAAATCTTGGCCCTAACAATATTGTCACCTCTATTAAACCATTGATCTATCAAACAAGCAAGCACACTGATCTCACAGAAGAAACAACTTTGCTACGGTAACAGACAGGAAAACACTGCCAGGCAATGTATTGCATGTGGGATAATAAGCATATTTTTATGTAGTTCCAGCTACCTCTCTACCTCCAATTCCTACAATTCATTTATTGCTATTGAACACATACTATGTTCATATCTTATTTATAACATTTTTGGAAACAGTTTCAAACATTTATATCCTTTATCAGTGGCCAAGTCTCGAAGGTATCCTGAACTCAGTAAGTCTAAACGCAAAGCCTTGGCTTACTGTTTCAAACAGAAAGGTCTACCCACTCTCAGAAGTTTCAACACAATGAAGTCCTGCATGATGGTTACTTACATCCAAAGTTCAGAGTTTTAGCTCAACACCTTCCTCACTCTAACATGAAACTCTAGGCCATATGAAGCCTGGCATTTTTTTATTCATAAAACAAAGCTCTCTTCAATTGTCATACAATTGACATTTTAATTAAAACCATTAGAGTAGCTTACTTACTAACACCCCACCAAAATATATTCCCAACACAGTAGCCACACTAACAATATAAAACACCCCAAGACACTTCTTGGAACCAAATGTTTGTGCTTCCCAGTGTATTGTTTTTTATTTAAATCAGGTTCATTTTTAGGTCCTCTTGTTAACAAAGCATACTCTGGGCAATCTTAATACTTCGTATTCATCAAAGCTATTTGGTTGGTTTGACATGGTCTGTACTATCAATTCTCTATGTGTGTTTGGAAGAATGTCCTATAAATTATGAAAGGAATGTTAGTGCTGTTAAAGTCTCACTAGATTTGTTGGTTTTGTGGATTTTTGACTGGGTTTTTTCTTTCTTTCTTTTTTCTATTTTCTTTTTCTTTGGTTTTCTTTATCTCTTCCTTCCTTCCTTCCTTCCTTCCTTCCTTTCTTTCTTTCTTTTTGCACATTGTAAGCCTATTGGAGGAGCTCTGTTCACTCAGACTTCTCCAGGCGATCAGGACCTCCAGGCGATCTGCCAGTCAGAAGTTGTGCTGGGGCCTATGCTTAGCAGAGAAATTGTTGCTGATGGTTTTGTGTACTGTGTTGTGCTATGTGTGCTGCTACAGATTTCTGAGAAATGATAAGCTGGAAACCATGACATAGTGAGTTTAGCATTTCTACAATTTGTGTTGTTGAATTCCAACTTTAAAGCATGGTGGTCTGATAAAATATAGGGGGCTATTCCGATTTTTTTGTATCTGTCAAGGTTTGTTATGTTCCCTAGTATGTGTTCGATTTTAGAGAGTGTTCCTCGTGGAACTGAAGAAGGTATATTCTTTTGTGTATGGATGGAATGTTCTACAAATGTCTGTTAAACCCAATTGAAATATAACTTCTGTTAGTCCTTCTGTTTCTTTTTTAAGGTTCTTTATTGTGTCCTGTCTAGTGGT